GAGGCCATCGCTACTAGTAGCAAGGACGCTACTAGTAACAAGAAGCTGCTATCCCTGGTGAGAAAAAGGACTTCTCCGACCTTCTCCGTCCTATGAACTCAGGAGGCAAACTCAAAAGGAGTATGGTCTGGTGGATGGCATCCTGCAGTATACTATTGGTCGCTGGCCGATCCACACACAAAGCCACCAGGCCCCAGAGTCTGTTTCTTAATCCCTTCTATGTTACAGTATATAAATAGACTTTGGATCGGAGGATCGGAGATCCAAAGCCCATCTCGGCAGTCCATGTCTCGGCCTGGCCACTGCACCAGCAGGAGCCCATCGACCTGGCGCACCCCCAAGGCTCCCGTGCGGCGCAACGCCTGTCGCCACGCCAAGCGCGTGGGCTCCAGCAGCCGAGCGAAGGCCCTACATGCAGAGCCGCAGGCCGTGAGCGCCTGGAAATCTCGAGGAATCGACCAGGGATATATGTTTTATTGAAAATCCTTGAAAAACCTCGTCTATCTGATTTGTTTCGTGTTTGTTCGGCCAGAAAGTCGTGGAGAGTGTTTGTTGAGAATCACTCAACATCGGTAGGAGGACATGAACTCTCTGGATGCAGATTGGCAGTCGCTGCGATAGTGACCAAATGAGCACTCTAAAATTGTTTTCATACTCATTTCACCGGCTATTAGAATCAAGTTGAATTAGAATTACTAGCTTCTTGTTGCTACTAGTAAGGCACTTGTTACTAGAAGCGATGCACTTGTTCCTAGTAGCGAACCTTGTTTATTGTCCAAAGAAATTTGTGCACCTCTGGCTCCAGGGACGCAAAGATGCATCGCTCCAGCTGGTGCTCCTCCCAATGCTCCGTGGCGGCCGCTACACGGCTGTGGGCGGCGCAAGGCGTCTGACGCGATCTCGCGACGCGCAGCCAAGCGGCGCAGCGAGCTGAAAGGGCGAGCGGCAAGGCAGGTTCATTTGAACTTCCAAAAGAATCAACTCCAAGAGAAAAAAACAACAATAACTTATCAAAGTAACAATTGAGATGAATCGATCTTCATCCTTGGACGGGATGGCTCTAGCGAAGCAACCAAGTGTTCTATAATTTTATCTCGACAGATTGACAAGCAGATGGTAGGTGTAGACGACTGTAACTCCTGGCTGGTGGTTGCTTGCAGTGCTTTCACTCCTGTTTTTTGCTGGAAGTTTCTCAAGGCCAACAACTTCTCAGTGTCGTGGCATGGCCAAACTCGAAGATGAAGGCATTCGGCGAAGCCGTCGGAGTCCTGCGGCCCGCAGAGGGAGAAAGTTTTTGGAACTTGTAGAAATTCTGGGCTCTCGGCCTATCAGGTACTCGAATGAAGGTCTGAAACCTGGGCTGGAAGCAGCGGACTTTAAGACTTGAGGGTATGCGAAAGTCTCAAAAATCGGAAAACATCGAGAATTAGTGCGAAGGTCATTGATCATTGGTTGGGGTTCCAGTAGAGCCAAAACAAATGCCTTTCCTGAGAAACAAATGTGTTTGGCATATTTGGGGAGGTTGGAGAGTGGCATGGTCATGTTTCTCTTCTACAGAGGAACGCTGCAGAGTCGAACATTAATATCTTAAACTCTTCATTACACAGCTCAGGAACTATTTACATCATCTATTTACACCTTAAGTATCGGAGTATCGATTATCAACCTGGAAGGTTCTCTAACATGAAGCACAAAGACACCCATTTAACCGAGTGTCACGTGTCAATGACCCTGCCACAGAACGAAAGGAACTCTTCTGTGTCTATGGAAATGATATTCTCAAATTATCCAAGTTGAAGTCTGAGCTCCAGGCCCATAGGTCTCGTTTGGCCAATACAGGCTCTCCTAGCCATCGCGCGAGAGAAGAGCTGCCCCAGCGTGGGATATTGGAAGGAAGGAAGCAAGCAAACAAGGAAAGGAAGGAAAGGAAAGGAAAGAAGGAAAGGAAGGACAGAAGGAAAGGAAGGAAAGAAGGAAAGGAAGGAAAGAAGGAAGAAAGGGAAGAAAGGAAGAAAGGAAGTGAAACTAGCTCCTTCCCCAAGTTACAGTAAGTAGCCTGACAAATAAAGCGAAGCACCGCCAAATAGTACCGAACAACTATATACGTTAACACTTCAGACACTGAAGTCCAGGAGTATTGGTGATTGATTGCGGTCCGTACTAGGAGTGGTGCTTGGAGATACCATGATTGAATGTACGTTACACCAGTCTGCCAAAGCCAGGTGGAGAGACATTGGAAGGCCAAGGTCAGAGCACAATGGCAGCGGAATGTTGCCTGGTGCTTCATATGGGGCTCCTATCCTACTCTAAATCAATTTGTGCTGCAAGACATCAACTTAACCCACAGTCCTGGTTCCAAAGGAGCACGTTTCCTTGTCGAAGTGGATAGCCGCCTTCCGCACACGAAACGGATGTCACACAGTCGCTCGGCGGAGCTCAAAGCATTGCATCATGAAGTCATAGGGCTGAACTGAACTATTGGGTTGGAGGCCATCGCTTTTGGGTTCGAGGCCATCTCTACTAGGTTGGAGGCCATTGCTTTATAGGGGCTGAACTGCGGTCCAGTTTCTGGGTCACAGGACATTCAAACACTTGTTGAATCAAACGTGCAGTCACATGTGTAATTCATCTGCTGGTCACCTGGCAGATCCGCATTGGTTCCCAGTAGCACAAGGGACTGCGTCCTCAGTGGAACTGAAGGCAAATGTATATTGGAGAGAAAATGCAGAAATCCGCCCGCACCGGAGGTGCCGAGGGCGTCATGTAGGCTCGTGTAAGTTCGCAAGGAATCCGACTAGATAAATCCTAAGCTTTAGCTTGGGGGGGGGTGCGTTTTTCTCCTACAAGTGCTGTGCTTTTCTTTTTTAAGAAGTGACTAAAATTGGACCAAACATTTGTGATGCCGGTTATGCCGTTCGGTGCAGATCGCATTATTGACATCGCAGCTGTCTCGGCAAGCCAAGGGGCACTAGACTATGGATATGCGATGCCGGTTATGCCGGCCGGGGAAGACTGCATTATAGACATCGCAGAAATCGCAAACGTCTAGGCAAACCGCGGGACACTGTACGATTGATATCGTGGATGTGTTCGGTCGTGTGCCCAGTCCGACTGGATGAGGTGAATGGTATTGAGCATGTGGTTTTTTATTTTTTTGGGGGAACAGTCGCATGTGGTTTTTGACACAGAGACAGAGACAGAGACAGAGACAGACAGACAGACCCAGACAGACAGAGACAGACCAGACCCAGACAGACCCAGACAGATCTAGACCCAGACAGACCCAGACAGACAAAGAGAGACAGACAGACACAGAGAGACAGACCAGCCAGCCAGCCAGCCAGCCAGCCAGCCAGCCAGGGTAGGCAGACAGACAGACAGACAGACAGACAGACAGACCGACCGACCGACCGACCGACCGACCGAGACAGACTATTCACGTCGTGCGTGTGTTCTTCCGTGTGTCCTGCCCGAACAGACGCACACACTCCGTGCGGGCGGCTTCGTGCGCGAAGCGCTGTGAACAATACCACTGTGTATACCGTATACTATACCCATACGTTACATTAGGAACAACATTGGCATGATTGGCTGCCTACACTTACCACCAAACAGGGGTTTTCACGGACGAAGGCATCAAGCTTTGAGCATGTTCTTTTAGCCCGCTCCCCCTCCTCCCTACTTAACTAAGTAAGGAATTGAGGTAGCTAGTAGGTAACTACTAACTACTGGATTTGGTTCCTAATTAGATGTTTAGGAAACTCAAGGTTGCAGGTTTGATCCTGCTGACCTTGTGATTGTGGATCCAAGGTGGAAATCACAAGCAATGCCAAAACTCCATTTAGTCTAGACAGGAACTTTGGGACTTGAGGAAGTTATAGGTATCCCTGCTTCGAGTCTTATTCAGGACTCATTGTCAAGTGGAACGTGCACATTGGCTTGACAAATCCTGAGACGTTGACGCATTCGGGAATAGGGCAAGGTGGCGGAACTCAGAATCCTGGAAATCCCAGTCGTACCTCAGCTCATCTCAGCTCAGTGCAAAGCGGATAGGTTGTGCATGTATCAACTATCTGGAATCAACCGACTACAATATGTGTGAAAACAACATGGTTGCGGCCGACTGCAGATCCAGAGTTGGAAAGTTGGCTGGAGCAAGTTGCTAGATACAGGTCAAATGGTTTCGCATGAAACACTTGAGGAACCTGAAAAAGGTCTTGGGCAGTCGGGCAGTTTCTGGCTTGTCCAGCGGGTGGAGAAGACCACGCTAGGGCATTGTTGGCTGACAGATGTTTCGTGGCTTGGATTCTTTTAGTATAAAAACTATTATACATTGCTGCTAGTAGTAAGGCCAGGAGCGCCCCTAGTAGCGTCCGATCGCTCCTAGCAGCGATGCCCTTTGCTACTACTAGCATGCCAAGCTGGCTTCCCTGCACTTTGGAAGTGATTCCTGCCCTCTCCAAGTAATTGTCCATGTCTGAGCTCCCGGACCCAAACGGGGAGGTGACCTGCACAGGTGCTTCCCAGTTCTTCCAAGTTCTTCCATCAGTGTCCTGTTGGGGGGCCTAAGGTGCACTGTATTCAGAATTTGGGAATGAGATCCTTAAACCCATCCAAGTAGCGTTGAGTCATGCCCAATGACTTCAGCTTTGGTGCTCCCCCGAGAAAGCTAAGGTTGGCCAATCAACACGAGTGTAGGGTCAATCAAATAAGATCACAAATTATGTTCAGGTAGATCGTAATAATGTTCTGGCACCTTCCCAGACTTTTCAGTTTTCGACCATCCTGGTTCCAAGCATGTTGTTGACGTGGCAAAGCCTATCACATGACAGAAATCCAGCAAGCTCATGGCATGCGTTGGCTCTTCAATAGCTGTAACTAAAATTAACTAGAGCATGTTTGTCTACAAGCCTCAGCCAAACTAGAATCGAAGCAAAAGAGCTACCGTCCGTTGCTGAGAAGACTTTGACCTCAACAAATCCATCCAAAGCCGCATGCCGCAGGCTGCTTCTTCAACCGAGCGCCAGACCCTCAACGTCGATGAAATGCGCTCGATGACCTGCAAACCAAGGCTGCACGTAATCATGGGCTTCATACTGTCAGGCACAGCGGGCCTTGAACTTGCGAGCCAAGCCTTTTTTTATCTCGTTTAATTTGCTGTGATAGTGCAAGTGATGCTTATGAGCCGCAGCTAGCCATCTAGCTGCATCAGCAAGTCCACCACACTTAACTTGGTGATTGCTGAAATATTGTGTGCATACAATGACTCCTTGGATATGTGCATGAGGAGCAACCCTCCTTTTGCAATGAAAATATGTTGATTGTACAAACAGCACTTGAGGCAAGGAAGGACTTCTAGACCCAAACGTGTTGTATCCAAAAAGAAGGTGGCTATTAGGTTGTGCCATCGCTAGTAGGTTGGAGGCCATCGCACAAAAAATGATGACTTACAGCAACCCCTCTGCTCAAAAACTGAGGCCAATCACCCGCAACGGGAGGATCGTCACAGTAGTGCGTGCCATGGACCTGAGTGACGTGAAGGAAAACCAAGACGCCCGAGAAGATTGACATGGAAGCTAGGATCTATGAACTAAACAACCAACCTAAAACCGAAACATATCCGCATCAAAATCTTCTATGTTGTTTATTCCGTTCATCAACCAAAGGTGTTGGATGTTTTTGCAGAAGGCACCCCTGCCACTGTACACAATACTTATCCATATGCAAAATGTAAGACGGACATCAAGGGCAATCCAATACAAATCCATACAAAGCAAATGCCAGGTATCGAGCAGTCGGTAAGGCATGGTGCTCATCACTGACACCTGAGCCAAGTTCGAAACATGACAGGCTAGCTCCAATCACTAATTTCACCATAAAGAGTAGCGCCAAGTTCATGGACGGGGTAGAGAATCGACCCACCGGGGAGCTGGGTGGTAGAGATGCACTCAGCGCGCGCACTTTGATGAAAAGGGGGCATTCATGAAATAGAAGAGGACAGCACAAAGAATGATATTGCTGAGTTGAGTGTTCTCTCAGCTGTTCATCGGAGAAGCCAACTTCAAAACTGATGGCTTGCCTGGCATAGCACAAGAACTCACATCTATCGGGGCGTTCGGTGGATTGGTTGTCCCCGGAACAGGACAACAATTATTGTTCAATAAGACTGTTGGCCACGCAGGTCAAGTTTGAGCCTGCACGTTGAGCACCGTCGGTGTGTTCAGCTCTGCCTTGGAAGAGGTTTGCAAGGTTCAAGCATATCTGACATCTCAAGTCTTTCCTGTTCTGTAATCCAAGCATGTCTGGCCATGTCACTCTTGTCACTCTCAATACTTTGTAAGATGTTTCTTCGGAGGACAAGAGCTCCCCACCTTGGTGCCAAGTTGCCCGGTACAATCCAAAGCTCGTTTGTGTGGAGTCTGAAGACATCGGCAAGGATGTAGCAGTGTGAGCCAAGGACGCAATGGGCATGGCAGTTCCATCCTCAGCCAATGTGTCCCCAGCATGCTATTAGGGTGGAGGCCATCGCTACTATGGTGGAGGCCATTGCTATTGGGGTGGAGGCCATCGCTATTGGGGTGGAGGCCATCGCTATTAGGGTGGAGAAGCCCCTGAGCAACGGCGTCAGCTTCCACAGCGAGTGCACAGGAAGGATGTTGCTCTTGCTTGCCTTTCGGATACAGTTTTGATTTTCTGTCGCATGGACATATCCGCCGACCCCGCCGGTTGAAGGGGGCGCGCGCCAGAGAAGGTAACCGAGGGTATGCTGGAAGCGTTGCGGAAGGTCTGACAGCTTGAAGCGTTGCTGAAGGTCCGAAAGCGGAAGACAGGGCGTGCGCGACGCTGCTTCACAGACTTGTTTTACGGGTTCCGAACGCGACGTTAGAGATTCTGAGGGCGTACGGGGAGGACCCCTTCAGGGCGATTTGTGGTATCGAAGTAGATTGTGGAAAGCTGAGGGGTTTGAAGCGACCAGTATGGCAGAACCATTGGCCAGGTTCGAGGGGTTTGAGGGGTTGAGGGGTTTGAGGGGTTTGAGGGGTTTGAGGGGTTTGAGGGGTTTGAGGGGCTTGAGGGGTTTGAGGCGTTTGAAGGGCAGTTTCGGGCCACTAGAAAAAAAAAAGGATTTGGCGCGCCAGAGCCCCGAGCCCACAGTCTGCGCAACTCCGCCCACAGTCTCGCACAGCCTCCCCTGGTGGCACTTTCGATGCCAAACACTCCCTCTGAATCCCTAGAAAAAAACTTTTCTTTCATGTCTTGCACAAATCCTGGCTCCGAACACCTGACCCCGCCACGGCTTTTCCCACTCTAATTCTGGTCCAAAACGAGCCTCCCCTGGTTGCACTTTCGGTGCCAAACGCTCCCTCTGAATCCCTAGAAAAAAAAACTTTTCTTTCATTTTCTTTCATTTCTTGTGCAAATTCTGGCTCCGACTTCTTGTGCAAGTTCTGGCTCCGAACACCGAGCGTCTCCAACGGCCAGTATGGCAGAACCAAGGCTTTGTGGCGAAGGGAATCACTGGGAGCAGGTGTCAGCCAGGCCAGAGGACCCGTGGGAGGTGAGAGAACTGTCTACCAGCCAGAGCACCTTGGGAGTTCACAGAACGGCTGCTTCACAGACTAGTTTTACGGATTCCGAAAGCGACGTTAGAGATTCTGCGGGCGTACGGGGAGGACCCCTTCAGGGCGATTTTTGGTCTCGAATTAGATTGTGGAAAGCTGTGGCGAGGGGGAATCACTGGGAGCAGGTGTCAACCAGCCAGAGGACCCGTGGGAGGTGAGAGAACGGCTTATTGTCTACCAGCCAGAGCACCTGTGGGAGGTCGCAGAACGGCTGCTTCACAGACTAGTTTTACGGA